GGGTGATCAGGACTTTCAACATGAGTTAGGCATGAGGTGCTACCACTGGCTGTACCTTTTTGATTCTGCTCTCAAATTCCAGCTGTCCCCGCACTGGCCAAGCTGGACTCATGGCTTTCTCCTCCTCTTGGCTTTCTCCTCCCAGTAGCATTGGATAAAGCAGGGAGATCTTGAAAGTCCAGGAGAACCATCGAGCATGCAATTCATTTCCACTCATTTTTGAGGGCAGAAAGAACTACCCATCCTGAATAATGTTTGGGTAGCTTTTGGATCACATCTTTGCCTCATGGGATCATTTGAGCATCTCAAGGAAGAATGGAAGAATTGTCCTGCTGGATCAGACCAAAGTCCTGTCCCACAATGACCAGACAGATTCTTCTGGAGACCTTCAAGCAGGTTATGGACACCACAGCGCCCACCCACATGGCTGCCCGGGTGCCCTTTTACATGCCACCTTCTTTGTGGAAAAGCCGTCACGGTGGGGCGTGGCCATTATTACGAAGTCAAGCTCCAAAAGGATATAAAGGTGAACGTGAAAAAACATTCAGACATAAAAACAGCTACAGCATTGAAAGGGCTCAATTGAAAAACTGCATCTCCACCTGCTTTCGAAAAGCCAGGAGAGCAGGGCCTGTTTGTAGTTCTTGAAGGAAGGCGTTCTCTTGTGTGTGAGTGTTCACCTTCGTGTGTTTTTACGGTTTGCTGCCTTTGAAGATGGCCTGGATGGTAGATGAGAGAGAGAGAGATCCAAGAGTAAGATGTTTCATGTGTCCCTGGCAAAAAAGCCCTGGTAGCCAAGTAGCCCCATAGTGGGGTGGGATTTAGATAGTCCCCATAGATAGTTAAGTCCTCAGCCACAAATTCTCCATGAATTTGTCCAGTTCCCTTGTAAAGTTGTTCACGTTGGGGGCCATCCTTATTCCCTGCAGAAGCAATTCCCTTAGCTTTGTATTCTGTGCTGTTTATGGATGGCCAGGACTTCACTGGCTGGGCAGCAAGTGTCCATCTTATGGCAGGGATCTCTTTTACCATATATTTACATTAAGGTGAGCCTTTGACCCACGAAACTACAGATTAGCTTGTCCCAAAACCGTTGCAGCTGTTGCCTGTGCTAACTTTTGAAGCTGTGGACATTTTAGGAAAATTGGACCTCCAGGTTCAGCAGCCCTTGGATCCGAATGCCAGTTTCTTGGGGGGCAAGCTCTTGATTTCATTCCCTGCTTCTTGGAGGCATCTCGTTGGCTGCTAATGCTGAGGATGGATGCAAGTCGAGGTGCACTCAGACCCCATGAAGCTTCTCCAAGCTGATGTACTTTTTTACTCTGTCAAGTAAGAAAGTACTTCTCATCTATGAATAGTACTCAAAGTTAGGCCTCTGTTCTGTGGAACCAGTGGAATAAATGAGACAGAAGTTAGTCAAGGTGAATTTGAGCTCCATTCATTTTAGTGGGTCTACTCAGTGCAGACTGACCTTGGTTGTTAATTATGTATCCTCTTTCCCAAGCGAAGTTTGAGGAGCTGCTGTGGTGTAATTCATGCACGTTCTCTCAGGGTAATGTAAGGAGCCAGGCCCATGTGGCCAATGCTTTTCTAAATTTTTATTTGTTTTCAGAAAATACAGTGGAGGGGGGGGCAATGATTATAGAAGAAGAAAAGAAAAAGAATGGTCAGTGGAGCCAAAGGTCATTCTTCGGATTTGACAAGCAACTCCTCATTGAAACGCATTTACGGTAGACAAAGGTCTCTCCCAACCTGTCTCTGTCCCTCCCATTCAATTCTCAATCATATATTTATAGTTACAAATTAGAACATTGCTCTGGTACTTGGGTAATCACAGATGTTCGTATAAATTATGTTTTCTTTAACCAGTATTTAAATTGTGCAAAGTAAATCTTCCATCTTTCAGTTAATCCTTTAACTGGTCTTCCATTGAATAGTTAGCTTTGCCATCGCTGTGTGCTTGGCTAGCTTGTTTTTCCGATCTTCAGCAGCTAAGTTACCCTCAGCTTTCTTGGTCAGTGCTCCTGTTGTGTGGACTACCCACCCATGTGAATAGTTCTGGGGATGGGAATCCTCACATTACTCGGGGGCTGTGGAAAAGACCAACTCTGCACAGTACCTTTCCCATTGCTGTCAAGATGACCCGAGAAGGGCAGGCATCTTCACCTCTGATAGATGCCCTGTGGAGCATTCCTTCTAACAGAGTTAAGTCAAACAAAAATAAATTAGACCACGTAGGGCAATGAAAATTTTTTCAACCGCTTGGAAGTGGTTGTCCCTTCAGTATGTGTGACTAATGAATGGGTTTCTCCAATGTAGGCCTTTGATGAGGAACGATTGGAGGAAGTAAGTAGCCAGACGACCTGGCTGACTGGCATCCGTTTCTGAAAAAGCGCATGGTCGCAGTTTCCCATTGACTAACATCCTAATAATTGGAAAAGTTTTCCAGATGCTGCACATGTAGACCCTAAGACACTGCTCGGAAGTTTGTCTCAGTAACTCGTAACCCTCCCATGCTTATAGGAAGTCTTTACCAATAGGCCATTTATGGTCACGGTGGCCTGAGTTTGGTTGCAGAGTTGTCTTTCTTCTAAAACTGAAAGATATTGGACAATATTTCCACATTCCTGCATTGTTTAAAAAGGAGACATTTTATTAAGGATAATGGATTTTCTCGGACATGACCCTGAATATTAATTTCATATGGGGTGTCTCTGATTCCCAATATTTTACTGGTGCACCTTCCCCTTCATCACAAATTAATAGTTTGCAAGTTAACGTGGAGCAACGCCTCAATATGACTAACACATGGTAATCATACCTAAATCAGAATTTCCATTGTGTTGGGGTCATTTAGCCCCCCTCCCCCAATAGCAAAGAGGTACGGCATCTCGCCTCGAGTTCATTTTAACTGTGCTTTAACTGACTCCAGTCTCTTTTTAATGAAACCGTCACATGGGAGTGGAGTTGAACCCATGCAGAAAAATCAGCCGATGGATGGATGAGAGAATGCACGCAGTCTGAAGGGGCAGCTAAGGGGAGACGAATGCTGCTTCAGTTATTGGCTCGGGGTCAGTGAGGACCCTGAAGGCATAGGAGGGTTAATGGAAGTGTTGGCCATGTACAGTTACTCCCTTGGCTTTGGATTGATTGCCTTCTAATATCCCCAGCTAAAACTACACCAGAACCGTGTGGCATGCGTGTTTCTCGATGGCGTGGCTCTTCCTGTGGGTTGTTTGCTTTCTGTTCCAAATGGATTCTTCTTAAAGGAATCTTCTCGAGTGTGATCATGGTGGTAGTCATTTCCATGGAAATCTCCGGCTTTCCTACCCATAGTCGGTGTCTTCCTGTGTGCACATGACAAATAAACTTAATACACTAATTTAGTGGCTTAATCTGAAAGGAAGTCCCTCAAACGTGTCTGCTCTGGGGCTTAGTATGTGTCCCGACTTTGTGTTCTTGGCTTTGTACCTTTGGTGGGTCACCAAAATGGGGTGTAAATTAGGAAGCCATGAGGTTGCATCGGCTAAGAGCAGAGATCGCAAGGGCTGCAAGTTTCCCAGGACTCTTCTGCACCAATCCCAAAGCTATGCTATGCTTAACTATGAGGATTGCGAAGGCGAAGTATACTCGAACGAGTATGTATAAATGGATACGTTTGAGCCAACTGTCATAACTGCATGTATGGCTCAATTTGCTCATTGCAAGAGGGCATTTGCTGTGGACGAAGAAGCGGGCTGGTGCTTTCCCCTGGCTTATTCGATGCAACGTCCGAACCAGGAAGTCTGCCCTGGCTGTCCCTTGGCAGACCAGAGTTGGAGCACAGATCTTCTGGTTCTCATGTCACCGCAACTGATCCCGGGGCAGCGTGTCCCTGGGTGCTTCAGTTGGTTCTGCTTGAAGCAGAGGCAATGGGGCTCTGTGTCCAGAGACTCCAGGAATTTAAAAAATGGGTTGTATAGAGAGGCCCAATGGTCTTAGTTTTTTTTAAAGGGTAAGTTCAGGGAAATGGAGGAACATTTGTATTAGGTCCTAAGTAAGGAGAAGAGGGCTTGGCTGACAACCTCAAAGAAATTTTTCTGGGCACCTTTGGCTGGAAACATGGTGCAGGAAGTTCCATGCCAACTGTTACCCAGCAGGACCTGTGATGACTGTTGGAAGTCGCTCCTGCAAGACACAGCTCTGGTGATGAGTGTAGCTTGCTTGCTTTAAAGCTCGATGGAAAGGAGAGGGCAAGACGATGGAGGTGAACTGGCCACAGTCGTTACATGACACTTTTGTGCTTGGATGCATGGACGATATCGGGGATGACTGAGCAAAGGCGGCATTTTTCTGCTTGAAGGTTCTCAGCAGAAGTGGGCTGGGTTGCATTGACCATAGGAATAGAAATACTGGCTTGGCTTAAGAAGGAGTATGAGCCATTCATGAGCGAGGCGACTCAGTCAAAATTTCTGTCGGGCTTCCTTGCCCTGATGCTTAATGTTTCCACACACAAGCAACTTTCGGTAGATGCCTCTCTCTTGCCAATTTTGGTTCTCTGCACTAAATCTTTTTCATATGAGCCAGCCTGAATGGAATATTCTCTCTTCTGCTGCCCTACAGGCAATTGATGCCCAAAATGTCAATCCTAAATGTAACTCCTGTGCCCTAATTCTCATGGAACTCAGTGGTGTTTGCATCTTGGAGAAGCATGCTTGCTATTCGGTTGAACATCTCCCCCACTCAGCTCTTTGGGATTGCAAAAGTGCTTAGTATGGGGGTGGATCATGACCTTTTCGAAAAGGTTAACTGTGTCTTTGATGGATACGCTCCAGATTTTGGAAACATACTGTCAGTGGTAGATGCATTTGAAATGTTTTGCTAGAGGTGTGATTTATGTGTTGTACAAGACTGTGCATCCTTGCCATATTTTTTTCTCTGTCCTGACTCCAAAATGATAGGTCCATCTTGTTTTGCTGTGGCAAATTAATGATGCATCTTTGTATTTTTCTGTGTGGCAGCTCACCAAGTCTCACCGGCAGGGTCACATGGTCAAAGTGGACTGGCTGGACAGGCTGACCTTTCGAGAAATCGAGATGATCAATGAGGTAGGTCAGAGTGTGTTTTAGGTTTCTGAAGAGCATCCCATGCTGAAATCTTGGTATTTGCCATTCAGGGAGCATCCCTCATTTTTCTCTCCATGCCTGTCCCAAACACACGTGAAAAGAACAGCTTAATTCTCCAGGAATTAAGGGAAGTCGACCTCTTTCAACTCGAGCCAGAGAAGGGCTCTTGGACTGCATTCCAAGGCAATGGGGCCATGGGTAAATGATGCAGGGCAAAAATGACTGCAAAACTTTGCTGAGAAATCTAGTGGCTGCCTCTTAGGAGATGCATTTGCACCTTTCATTTGCATGGAAAGGGCAAATTCCATGCTAGGCATAATTAGGAATGGAATAGAAAGTAGACCTGCCAGAAATTTACTTCCCTTGCTCAAATCTTTGGTGCAACTGCAGTTGGAAGATTGTGTTCAGTTCTGGTTGCCTTACCTGAAAAGGGACAGTATTGTGTTGGAAAAAGTGCAGAAAAGGGCAGCAAGAGCGACCGGGGCTGGAGTGGCTCCTCTTGAGGAGTAGCTACACCTGGGACAATTTAGCTTAGGAAAAAGGCAAGTAAGGGGAGAAATTAAGTAAATAAATAAGTTTGCCTGGTGCAAGGAAAATAAAGAGGGAAGCACTTAAACCCAACTCTGTTTTGAGAGATGCAGTTTTAACGGTTTTAAGTTATTCTAAAAGTTTTGGAAATAGTTCTGGAAAGTTCTTCAATTGTGAGTTTCATCAGTCAGTTGTGTTGAGGTCGTATTTGGATTTATAAACCTATAAGCAAACAAAGAGATATTTAAAATACTGTTCCTGCTACAGCAGGATCCATAATGGGCACAGAGGACAGGAGATTCCTGATTGCTGATATTGCCTTCCTAATTCATTTTATGCTTACCTTAAATACCGCTCCCTCCCCCCCTCCCCCCCCATGTGTGTGTTTAATTTCAGAGTGAGAAGCGGAGTTCTAATTTTATGTACCTGATGATTGAATTCCGCTGTGCAAAATGCGATGACAAAGAATACGGGATTGTATATTACGAAAAGGTATGTATCCTTTTAAGGCCTTTAATGCTTATTTAGGATGCAGTCCTGTGCAAGCTTTGACAGAAACCTTTTTTCCCTCCAAACATGCATAGGATTGTGACTTTATTTTATCTGAAGAGCCAAGAAAATTTCATGTCGTCCTCCTGCCGGAAGTGACAATACCAATGTGGTTCACTTGGTTATTTTCAGCCACACTCTTTTGGGTGGCTTGCTAACCATGGTAGCAGCCCACCTTTGCCATGTTCAGATGACACAACAGCCTGCAAGTGGAGGTGGGTTGTGGAAGGGGCATCCATGGGCATCTGGAAAGTTCAATACAGCTTCCAGTCATTCAAGTAACAAGCTTTGCGTGGACAGTTTTTATCACTGTGGACTAGTTTAAGACACCTTGGGCTTGTGGCCTCACCTCTTCTCTTTTGTATGTTCCAGCCCCTAAAATAAAACTTAAAACTTGATATTGCACATTTTTTGTACATATTAAATGCCTGTGATTAGGGGAAGGAAGACTAATGTCTGTTCCCAAAGAGTCAATCCGTGACTGGTTGCGTGAGGGCTGAGTTACATACTGCATGGTCCCTTCGCTCTCTCTCTCTTTCTCTGGAAACATAGAAACAGAGCGAGTCACAAGGGGCCTCCTGGACCATCTAGTCTGACCCCCGGCTCCAGCCGGCTCTGCTCACGACATGCCCACCATGTGCATGTCCAGCCTGTCTTTGAACACCCACACCAATGGGGCCTCAACGACCTCCCGAGGAAGCCCTTTCCATGCCCTCGGGGTCCTGACTCTCAGGAAGTGCTTCCTGGCATCCAAATGGAACCTTGGCCCCCTGAGCTTTGCTCCGTTGGAGTGTGTCCTGCCTTCCTCTGCAGGGGAGACCAGGTCTCTCCCTACCTCTGTGTGACATCCCTCACATACCTGTATGTCGCCAACTGATCCCCTCTGAGCCTCCTCAGTTCCCTCAGTCTTGCCTCATACGGCATCCCCTGCAAACCGGCCACCAACCTTGCGGCCCTAATAAACAATAATTTTATTAACAAATTTAATAAATGCAAAGCAGCAAAAGTGACCCGGCCATCGTATATGCAGTGCAGGGATCTTCTGCGTGGTTGCGGCTGCTCCCCCTTCCCCTTTCCAAGCCCAGGCAGCCTCACAGGGCTGCCATGGGGCGTGTGCTTCCTTGAGAAACTCAGGCGGAAGAGCGGAGAAGTGGTCACTGCACCATCCACCACTGACTGTCCAAGCCAGAGAGCTGAGATCTTTCATCTCGAAGACTGGGAGAGTGACAGATACGCACAACTCTTACCATAGGTCGTGGCATAGTTTTCGGACAACCCAGTTCATCTCCTCCTCTATTCTGCAGGTGTTCCCATTTTCATAAAGGCAGGTGTATACATAGTACAATCTTCTAGCCAGAGTTTTGACTTGAGGATGATATGGCAATAAAAAAATAACTCCGACTCAAAGGAAAAGTCCACCGAGTCCAGTGGAGTTACTGCCTGCTGAGAGTGCAGTTTTCAGCATCCACCGGCCAGCAGGTTTCTGATGTGTTTAATAAGCATTCTTAAAAGGACACTAAGCATTTGTATGGACACTGACCTCCTTCTCAGGTTTGCAGTAGCATAGTTTGAAGTGGTGCATGGAAGAATGAATATAAACTTCCCCCAGACCTTCAGCTTTGGGCAGTATAGAAACGAAACAAATAAATAAAGTACAAAGCCAAGGAAGACAGACGGAAAGAAGACACCCTAAACTAGACATGTTTGCTTGGTCGGAGTGATCTTTTAAACAGAGTTTAAAATTTGTTTCCCCCAAAGCTTTTATTCCGTATGCAAACTTATTTATTTCACAAACAAATATTAAGGCCATCAAATGGACTGAGAATAACAGATCAAAAGTATCTGTTTTAAAATACGCTGCTAGCTATAATTACAGCAGTTACAGAAATTGGTGCTGTAGTTTTTAAAAGGCAACATGGCAGAGAAGTGAAGTAAGCAACTTTTTCTTCAGATTTTTACCACTCAAGGAAGTCTCTGGTATTCCACTGTTACAGGTAGGGTGAAAATTCTGGAAAATTCTGCTGTTGTCAGGAGAAAGGAATTGCTTTTGGAGTGTCCTCGAGAGAATGTCCTTCTCCTGGCAACAGGGCAAGACTTCCTGGGGAAAACCGGGATATTTGGCTTTGCTAAGGAAACTAACACTGGAAAGAAGCATCCTTTGAACACCTGAGTGTGGGTAAACACCACTGTGTTTCTCTGCTTGGGATTTGAAGACATTTCTTCTTGGATTGAATGTGTGTTGCTGAATGAATGTGTGAAGGGTGTCACGGCCACTAGGTGGAGGGCATATCAGTTTTTCTGTGCAGGATCTTAAAACAGTGGGGAAAGAAGTATGGAAGAAGAGATTCCTCGCTCTCTGTTATAGTGCTGCCATTTAATAGGGCAAATGTAAATACTGCTAATCAATCCAGTGGGTGGTATCCTTGCTCGTGCTTAAAATAGCCCTGCTCTGGACCTGTGTGGATGAACCTGCCAGGTTTTTAAAAGCAAGATTCAGACATGCATCATTTCGAGGCTTCTTTTGTTAGATAGCTTGTTCCCAAGTCAAGTCATGTGTATAACACTTTCAAACATCCAAAGTCCTTCCCGTGCTTTATCTTGGTGTAATTCTTATGGCAACCTCATGAGGTCAATTGCTGCCCCCCAAGTTGCAGATGGGGGTATTGAGGCTGGGAAAGAGCGGCTTGCCTAGGGTTTGCCAAAGGGTATGTGGCAGAGGCGAGATTCAAGCCAGGACTTTCCTGATTTATAGCCCAGTCTCTTCGGCTGCTATTCTAAACATGTAGTGCTGTAACAGTTTATGTGTCTTTCCCCCAACAAGGTTGAATTGTCCCTTTTCCCTCATTTTCCTGCACGCTGTCGAATCAGTTACTCATTTCAGAAAGACACTGACGTTTAATAGCTTGGTTTTTTTCAGTCTTGTCTCTGGAGCGCATTAAATTGCGCTGACAGGTCATACTGTTCTTTATAACCTGAGAGGTTTAATTTGCCTTTTCGAATGCCGTTGTCATCTAGGACGGCGATGAGTCATCTCCAATTTTAACGAGCTCTGAGATCGTTAAAGTTCCTGATCCCCAAATGTCCATGGTAAGTAATTTTCTGCACAACAGATTTCATGGCACAGCAAAGTGATGCTGAGCAGAGAGCTTTGGTATGTGGTTCTGCGTGTCTTAATATACAGCTGAGGATCTGAAAGTTGAGGATGAGTTGCATTTGGAAGTGTGTCTGTGCCAAAATGGCTTCCTCTTAAAGTTTCGGGAACAGTCGGTTCCATGCTTCTGTAGTTTACGAGAAGCTTTCTGAAAGAGCATCCCTCACATGTCCTGTTTGGCTGTCTTCAGAGGCTTTTCTCTGGGTACTTCTGCCCAGAGAAGCTAGGTGGGTGGCTACAAGAGACGGGGCCTTCTCAATTGTGGCACCCACTTCCAGGGTAGTTCCCCCAAACAGTTGCACCTGGTGCCTGTATTGCTAATTTTTCTGCACCCAAGATTTTTCTCCAAGGCATTTTAGGGAACTCGTTCTATTCATTTGTATGACTGCTTTACCTATTTGCGTGATGTCTGTCTGAAGTTGTATTTCATTCTTATAAAGGTGGTATTGCTTTTTAAATCTTTACTCTTTATATTTTTAGACTTAATGGTTGCAGCCACTCAGAGGATGTTTGTTCTTGGGCAAATTCAGAATATCATGAGTAAATGCATTTTCATGCCAAAGCCTTTCTTTCGCAGAGTCTGGTGTCAAGGGGTCAGAGTTAAGTCAAGGGCAGGTTCTGTCACCGGGTTTTTAAAACTGCCATGCATCTTTTTGCTTTTTAGCCTCTTGTTACCTGTCTGTCTTGGCTGTACAGGCCGGGTCAGGCTGTTTAACTGTGTGGGCTGTAACAAAATGCGCAAGGGCATTTGGAGAAGTGTGGTCATGTCACAAGCAGGTTGTAGCAATAAGAGCTCCGTGCCCCTGCAGCATGAAAGGGAGTGCAGAAGTCCTACTTCAGTGGCACAAATTGTGTTTTGGCTGAAGCATTCCTGAAATGACGGATTGCTGGTGACAGGAATCCTCTCTGTCCTAGGCCTTCTCTCCTTGATTAGACGCACCCAATCCAAACAAGATAGATGCAAGAGCTAAAATAAGAGCTAAAATAATTCGATGCTGACAACGTTGCGGTAATCCCCATGGCTCTCCAAGCACCAAACGGCAGAACTAGAACGTACCATCTGACCTGAGCTTCCATCATATCTTGATTATATTATGGCACTGAATGCTTAAAATGTCAGCCCAACCCAACGAGGTTTATTTTATTGTTTAGGAAAACTTAGTGGAAAGCAAGCATCACAAGCTTGCAAGGAGCTTGAGAAGTGGACCTTCGGATCATGATCTCAAGCCCAATGCAGCCACCCGAGACCAGCTTAACGTGAGTTGTCGCTCTGTGTTGTTGTCAGTGTTGAACAGCGGTTGGGTTTTCTGCATGAAGTGCAGACCGGCTGCTGGGAGCACATTTGGTAGGGACTTAGATGAATGTGTGTCTTGTCTGTTTCATCCTGTTCCATTCCTTCAAACAGGCATAGGCTCAGTTAAGACATCTGTCCAAATTATGGCTAGGACAGACCATGGTTTAGAATCCAAGCCATGGTTTGGACCCCAAGTGGTTCAGACAAACCATGGTTTGGAGCTGCTTGTCTGCATCCGTATTCCATCTGCTCCGTGTCCTCCTCCCCAGGTGTTCTGGCCCCAGAGGTAGGACAGTGGTTCAGATGATGGGTTGTCAGTTCAGATCGTTGCAGCAAAGTAGTTTTGCACAAAGTAGTTTCAAACCATGCATTTTTTCCAGGTTTCTTTAGCTAACTGGAATTTTATTTTAAACTGCAGTTCCTAACACAAAACCAGGAATCAGCTACAGAGGAATACCTATTCCAATCACACAGGGAGAACCCAGTGCTTGCTGACTTAGGCATATTACCCTAAATTATGGCTGGTTAGGTGTGATTGTAGCTGTGAAAGAAATCCAAACTGCACTGCAGTTCCCTGGACTGAAGATCCAGGTTGGAAGGATGCTTGGTGTTAGCTTATCGAAGTACATCTGGGCATAGCCACACGATGCACACACAGGGTAGATAGGGAGACCTGCAGTGTAAGGGGAAGAGAGTCAGATGATCAGGAGGAATACCATGATGATGAAGTATATTGGCTAAGCTGATAGCTCTGGGCAGATTCCTCCAAGCAGCGCGTCCACCGCTAGGGGCTCAGCTTTGGTGTTTGAAAGAAGAGAGGAAATAGGGTGGGGAGAGAATCTAAGTCTGTCTGGTAAGAGAAATCCAGCAGTAGCAATATCTGAGTGTAGAGAGGAACTGAAGGCAGAAACAAGAAGGCAGCTGACCAAAGGCCCCTGCCAGGGCTTTCACAATCTAGGAGGAAGCTGCTAAATGCTTTCCAGCACGTTTGGAGAGGAGGGAGGGCAAAGCTGAAAAGAACTGGGTGTTGCATGTTGGACTGAGGACCTGGAGATCTGGATTCTAGTCCTCTCTTGGCCATGAAGATCAGTGGGTGACTTTGGGCCAGTCACTTGCTCTCAGCCTAAGCTGCCTTGCAGGGCTGTTGTACTGAGGGGAAAATGGATCTCTGTTGGATCTTGGGTTCCTTGCAGGAGGGAAAAGACAGAGTATAAATGCAGTGTAATACTGTTTAACAGGGATGTGTGGGGTGGATTTTTCTGTGCATTCTTCTGTCTGTATTTATGTTGTATGTTGACATTCCTTGTCCATTCAAGAGGAGAAGCTAGATAGGCTAACAAAGAAATCCATTAATGCCTCATATTTAGATTATAGTGAGCTATCCACCAACGAAGCAACTAACCTACGAAGAGCAGGATCTGGTGTGGAAATTCCGATACTACCTTACTCATCAAGAAAAGGTATTGTTCCAATTAAATCTGTATTCTTACCATGTTTCTTCTCCTTTTTGAAGACTTAACATAGACTGCAAGTGGGCAAGCTTGTGAGGTTTGGGGGCCACTTTCCATCTACTGCTTGCCCCCTACCGGTTGCATTCCTGGTGCACTCTGGAGCCAAAGGCCAAACAGGCAAGACAAAAATACTCCAAGTACGGACAGAACTTAGCTTGAAACTCTTCCTGTGAATAACAACCTCAGGAAATCGTGTTGATCTTATAGAAGGTGGTGGCAGATTGTGCAAAAGCTGGGAATGCAGTGAAATATCAAGACAAGGAGCGAAGGAAGAGTCTGTCCCAAAGACCTAATACTTGACACGCCTGCTTTTTGTGTTCCAGCTTCTCTGTCAGAGGAAGCTGCAGGACAGTGGGTTCCACACTGCCTCTTTAACATCGAAACAGCATCTTGGTCTGCACAACAGATTGTCCGCATTTGCACAGCAAAGCAAGCAGCTCATGTGCTTACCATGGTACAGAGTGGTAGTTTCCACTCTATCGTGGTTTCCATCACCCCACTTCGTCTGCCCACTGTATCTCATCAGCCACTAAGCCTGAAATGCACTCACAGGGCCCGCTGTTTCTCGCATGCATTGCCTGCCTCTTCTTCATTGGTCCACACATAAAGGCTGGATGGCTAGAGGGACTCCTGCAGTTGCCGCTCTTTCAAGAGGACTCTGTGGTAGTTGCATACCGGGATGGTGGAAACCATGATGCTGGGTTCAGACAACATTACACACCATGATGATACAACAGAACAAACCGTTGTTTCTTTTCATGGTTTCTTAAGACAAAACTTACCATGGTGAAATACTTTGAGTGGATTCGAAGAACATGACAGACTAGAAATAGTAAGCACATACACCGTGGCTTGTCTTTCTGAACCCAGCCATTGAGCTGGGATGGTTTTAATGTATCTCCCTTGTGCTCTGGTGCCCAAAATGCATATAACCATATGTTGCTCTGTTAATTTAAGCCTTGCCAGACGCAGGGACTGAGCCAGATTCTCCCTTGCCCTGATGGAAGGAGCTTTGGACCCCCTTTCTCAAGCTGTGCTTTTGTTCTGCATCGAGGCCTATTCACTTTTTAAAATGCATGGAATCCCCAGGGCTGTGCATTACGTTTCTCTGCGTGCTGCCCTTGGAGGGAAATGTCACACGGTGATGCTCCGTTCGCCTAGGCGCTGACGAAATTCCTGAAATGCGTGAACTGGCACCTCCCTCAGGAGGCGAAGCAGGCCCTGGAGCTGCTGGGAAGATGGAAGCCGATGGACGTGGAAGACTCCCTGGAGCTGCTCTCCTCGCACTTCACCAACCAGACCGTGCGGCGCTACGCGGTGGCCAGATTGCAGCAGGCCGACGATGAGGTGCGGGCACGCCTCGTTTCTCCTTCCCCTGCGCCCGCAGGGGATTCTGGGGGCTGTGCCCGCTTGGCCCGTCAGGTCGATAGGTGGCTCAGGGTGATGCTTAGGGTGATGCAGCAAGAAGCTTTCCCACACATCTGGCCTGCCACCGGTGTCTGGAATGATGAAGCGGCTGGAGCGGTTCTGTGGAAAAGGGCCTCAAAGACCCACCCATTTCCCCCCACCCCAGTTGAAATTAAGTCACCAAAACAGAAACAGACCCTTCCCCCCCACACACACACCCCCAAGCCAAAGATAGCTTTGCAAAGAAAAAAGGGCTAATCAGGCTGAGGGACGGGATGAAGCCGTCCAAGGGGTCAAGAAAGTGGGCTGGAATTTTTTCCCCTCTGTCTGACATGATTCCGGAACCCAGGATCACACCTTGCCCTTGTTTGGTGGGAGGTGCAGGACTGGTGAAAGGAAGGACTCCTTCCCACACTGCAGCGTTGCTTGATCCACGAGATGATGTCGGGGTGGCCACCAACTGGGAGGGAGGGCTTTGTGATGGGGCTGGACAAATTCCCGGAGGAGAAGGACCCACGTAGCCACTCGTCCCGGCAGCTGCATTCTGCTTCCAGTATCACAGGCAGAGTGCCTGTGGACTCCAGTTGCTGGGGAGCAGGGGTAGGAGGGTGCTATGGCCCTCATACCCTGTTTATGGGCCTCACACAGGCAGCTGGTGGCAACTGGGTGAACCCCATGCTGGGCTAGACGGCCCCTCGGCTCTGTCAGCATGACTGTAAGCGTCTTGTGAATGGCGCCCAAGGGGCAGGATCCCTTTCCTTAGTGGCTGCTGGAAGGAAGTGAGCCTGAAACCCTTTTCCTTCTCGGCCCTTTCTGAAATAGCCTTCCCACGTTGTCTGTGTGCCTGGGGGAACAGCGCCTGGCCATCCTCAGACCTGCGCCAAGATTAAATATTTCGGAAGGGGAAAAGGCTGAGACAGTTTTGCGTGAGAGGCCCAAATCAACTCTTGCTGTAGTAGCCAGTTCTAGAGGTTTGGGGAATGTGCATGTGAGAAACGTAGAGAACCCTGCGTGCCGTCACCGTCGGGAGAATTCAGTCTGCGTTCTTGCTTCTTTTGTGACCCAGGTTCTTCCGCGCAAGTGCTCCTTCCCCTCCTCCCAAATTCCATCTGGAGTGACGGATTCTGTTCTGCTCCACTTTCCCCATCCACTCCTCACTCAGCAGAAATAGGCTGGACCGGTACATTTTGCTGCCCAAGCCTCTCCCATCACTCCCTCCCGATGTATAATGTTGCGTGTTTTGCTCTGTGAGGTGCAAAATCCCATCTACACATCTCTGCCCTTCCTTGGCTGCACAAATCCAACGATAATAAATAAGCCGTTTGCTGCCCTTTCTTGGCACTCCAAAATTGGCTCCGTGAGGGTGATGCTTCCCTCTGTCTAACGATAGGACTGGCCAACAATGGTTGCCCAAACCTGCCTTTACATTCCCCACCCCGCTGCCTAGGACAGTGTTGTAGCCCAGGAGCCTGTGTCCCTTTAGTTGCCCAGCTTCCTGATGGGGCAGATGGTGCCCCAGGGGATGTTTACCTGGGACATCTTGCACACTTCCAGGTGTAAGGCCGAAGAACTGCACTCCTTGCCGTGGATTTTGCACAGTTCCTCTCTCCCTCTACTTTAGAGGCTGTCAGTGTAGGAAAGGTGACCCCCCTTCCTGGGAGACGGGGGGGGGGGGGTGAGAGAAGGCCCAGCTGTGCCAAGTAAGGTCCACAAAAGCGAGCGCAAGCATTCTCACCTCGGAGATGAGGTGAGGAATCCGTGTAGCCCAGTAGCTGCTCATCTCGTACCTTCCTTAAGTCGATCCCCACAGGTTTCTCACAGCAATTAAATACCTGTGGCTGTTTTTAATGCTCGCGCCGGATACTGGGAATGATTCACACTTTACATGGAACCCGTCACCGTGTGTTCTAGTTATTGATCCCAGATCAACATCTCCTCTTGTGCCTCCAGCATTGCTTGCATCCTATTCCTCATTTTTAAAGCAGGGTGGCTTTCAAAAGGGGCAGTTTGGGTTATCGTGAGCCATTTTCAGCTCCATCCCTGTCTCACCCTTGCATGCTCAGGATCTCCTGATGTACCTGCTGCAGCTTGTCCAGGCCCTGAAATACGAGAACTTTGAAGACATCAAGAATGGGCTTGAGCCAACCAAGAAGGACAGTCAAGCTGCCATGTCAGAAAGCCTGGTCGCCTCGGGAATGAATGCTGCAGAGATAGAAAGGTAGATAAGAGGCTCCCCTGCAGGTGAATGAAGGTCTCACAGGTAGGGGTGCATGAGGAATCCATTTGTGGGCATCGAAAAGCAGCCGATTCCCCTGGCTTGTCCTTGCTTCGCGTTTCTGGCTCATCAGCCCAGCTGTGATGAGAGCAAAGCCAGCAGGTGGGCATCCGCTTTTAAACATGGGTTGCGTTTTCCCCCTTTTAGAGCCAGGGGAATTAGCATACATTTCAGACACAATTTGCTCAGTTCGTGGTTGCAGTTGGCTCAAATTGTGCTGAACTCTGTGCACATTTCCCTGGCTTTTAATCCAGTTCTAAAGTGCTTAATCCTGGTTCTTTTCTGTTCTTAATCAGGGTATGACATGATTAAGTAGCTGGGCAGGTTTCCTGCATTGCCAGGTTTAAGGCTTCAATCCTAAACATTCAGATTGGACACACTTCTGGGTCAACGTGGGTTCTTCTAGTCACATTATGCATTGCTTAAATGACAGGCAGGTCAAGATTTTTTTAAAATTTGGAGTGAGCAGAAGACCCCTGGATCCTATCATGTCGGGGAGGATGGGATGAATTAATCTTCCCACTGCCTCCCACCTCCCTCTCCCGCTTTGCCAGATACTGATAACGTGAAGAGAACTAGATGTGCACTTGGCATCATCATCATCTTCGTTTGATGCCCCCCTGCAGGTCCACCCAGAAAACAAGCTGTCCCACAGGACAGCTTGCCATCAACTTGCTTAACACACCGACCACTTGCTTAAAATGATGCATTAAAATGCACCCACAACATATTAATAGCAAGGGAAGCTGCTCCCAGCTCAGCCGATTAGCTGACACCCCAAACTCCTGCTGAAATCAAGCAGCCTTCGCTTGCCAGAGGGGCAGAATAGGGGCAGCTCCACAGCCCCGGGCTGACCCCTGAGAAGCCCCTTTCCGAAGGTGGCCGTTTCGGCAGAATATCAGTTGCAGGCATTTATTTATTTAAAGTTTTACATGCCGTCCAGTACGAAAAGTCTCTGGACGGCTTACAAAAAACCAAAAAGCAAAGCAACCAAATACAACACTCAGCACACTGCATCTGATAAATGATGATCACATCAAAGATAAAACCAATTAACCGTTAAAATATTGGGAAAATTTAAAAAACGGCTCCCCCAAGCCGATCAGGGCTGCAGGAGGGGAGGGGTTAAGTCTCCCCACCGCCACTCTTAAGGCCCTGTTCCCAAAAAGAGCCTTTGCACTTCTTTTCTGGTTTAAAAGCCAGCAGTGGCTTGATTCATCTTTAATATGCCCCGTGTATTGGTTGTAAAGCAGAGAACTCTCACTGTGCGAATATCAACAGCAACACTGTTGTTAAGAGCAAGAATGTGTTGCCTGTGAAATAATCGAGGACGGAAGTAATCACAGAAAAATAATCTTTGTAGAAAAATGGGAAGACGGGGCTTCGGCCGGCTGCAGGCTTTCTCTGCAAGAGGAAGAGCTCCACCCGGTTTTGGGGGCTCACACTCTCTCAGCTGCCCCTTCCGCTCACGCTGTCCCGTGGATTCTCCTGATTTGCATGCCGCGTTTTCAGGATCTGTGCTGGGAATGCGAGACTGAGGGAGGACAGTTCTGCCAGCGCAGTTGATCTATCTTAAATCTGGATCGAGTCCTTTGGAGAGTGCATGGTTTTTGTTGCCTGCAGCTGCAGGCGAGGAGCAGTGGGAATAAGGCCCATACAAGCAAGTCCCGCAAGGTCTCTGGAGTCCAAAAAATGTGGAATGTGGCCCCAGGATCCAGGGACAGCACAGAGCCCATGAGGCTGAGCCCTGGGTCTACGCAGCATCTTTTGCAGAAGGACATAACAATGTAGAAGCTCTCTGGAATAGCTGTCTGCCTAAGACTGGTCTGCGTACACCAGAGGTGCACAACCTCTGGCCTAGAGGCCGGATTTCTCCACATTCCCCGTCTGGATCTCCAGATCACCACACCTCAAGCATTTGGTGGTTCCCCAGCAGTTGGGCAGTTGCTTCCCCTCTTGAAAAGCCCCCCCTGAGGCTTACTTAGCATCCGTAAGAGCTTTGAGCTAAAGTGCGCTCGTATTCCCAAAATGCCTTACGCTTTTGGCCTGCCTAACTCTGGAAGGCCTTGTCCGAAATGGAATTTAGCCCTCCCTCGGCCTGAAAGGCATTCGGCTGCCCTGGAATTGAGGATCCTGAGCCCAACAGACTGAGTGCTTGGCCCAGGCTGAGGTAGCTTTGTATGCAAATGCCTCAAAACCCAGGTCTGACACCCTGCTGCTCACTGCCTTCTCTCAGCTCACAGATCATCACGAGCCCACTCCCCCTCGTGTCTTCGCCACCTTCTACAGCGAAAGCAAAGGAGTCTGCGGACGGCGAAAATCTCGAGGTAAGTCAGACCTCCAAAGCTGCTTTTCGGTCTCAGGGGATCCGCTTTTGGGCTGGAAACAGCCCCGTGTTGGTTCTTGTGTCCACCATCATCTCATGGGCTTCTCCTCGGCCAAAGTACCAGCTCTCTGTGCCACAGGGGTCCTGGTATTGTGCCCTTTGTCCTGGGTTGTGGTACGGAGAGTGTCTCATGGTTCAGAATTCCAAATCCTCTCCTGTGGCAGGCAGAGCAAAGATCGTGACAGGAAATGGAGATGCACACCACTGCCAGATGCCTCTCTCCAGTTCTTTTATCGCACTTGTGTCTCTTCTTAGCGGCTGACTATTCTTCATATTATATTTCATTTAGAACCGCGCCTTTTTTCCTCTCACAAGAGGCTTACAGGATTTTCCTCGTCTCTGTTTCATCCTCACCACAACAAGCCGGTGTGGAAGGTTACACTGATGAGCAATGAGCAGCCCAAAGTCACCCTGAGGGCGTCATGAGTGTGGACCAGATCTCATGGTCTCGGTCCAGCTCTCTCGACCATTACACCACACAAGGGAACTCTGGGGAGGGGAGGGGAGGAAGGTCAGGAAGCCATTGGCTCCCCTCACCCCAAACCAGAAGGGATTCTAGATAGAGGGATAGGCTGCATTCCGGGCCTTGATGGGAGTGATTGCTGATGGATACCATGTGGTTATGTCTTGAAGCCGGTTTGCAGCCAGCGTGCGTCACTGTTTTCTCATTCAGATTTTTGTTTCTTTTTGACAGTCAGCAAGTAAGTGATGAAACAATGCATGAAGGTGTTTGAGGCCTTTTTTTACATCTGCTTTGGGTTAAATCACAGAATGAATCAGTTATTAGGAGTTTCCTTTCCTGCATCTCCACTGCATTTCCTCTAGGTGGCACTGCAGGATAGTGAAATAACACCATTATTGGAGTGGAAAAAGCATTTTCTTTCTTTCAGTTTTATAAATAACACCGCATTTCACCTTCCTGGGGGAAAAGAAGCTTGCCAGAAGCACTCTTTTTGTCCCTTTGAAGGCTGTGTGGTTCCTCCCCCCCCACCACTGGAATTCCTAACTTGATATCTATCCTTTCATGTGTGATAATTTACTTTCAGCAAGACCTTTGCACGTTCTTGATATCGCGAGCATGCAAGAATTCCACGCTGGCTAACTACTTATACTGGTAAGTGTGGAAAAGGGGCAGCTGCTGCTTGCCCAGGAATTCGCTCTTTCAGCCTCTGGATGTAGCAAAATGCGGAGGACCCTCAGGGTGGCTTGACAGTTCACTCAGTCCGCCCTCGGTGTCTCTGGCTCACTGGCTTCCAGGTGTTCCTCTGACATCTGCATTAGGAGAGCTGAAAGCCCGCATTCTGGGTCTGGGTCCAGGGATAGGAAATGCTGCCAAGGGGATGTGGGTCTGTGGGGGGAGAGAGGGCTGAGGAGGGGCCCTAAGAATAGAAACATAGAAAACCGAGCGAGTCAGAAGGGGCCTCCCGGGCCATCTAGTCTGACCTCCGGCACCAGCCGGCTCCGCTCACGACATGCCCACCATGTGGACGTCCAGCCTATCCTTGAACACCCGCACCGATGGGGCCTCAACCACCTCCCGGGGAAACCCATTCCACACCCTCGGGGTCCTGACTGTCAGGAAGTGCTTCCTGGCATCCAAGTTGAACCTCGGCTCCCTGAGCTTTGCTCCATTGGAGCGCATCCTGCCTTCCTCTGCAGGGCAGAACAGGTCTCTCCCCACCTCCATGTGACATCCCCTCACATACCTGTATGTCGCCAACATATCCCCTCTGAGTCTCCTCTTCTTCAGGCTGGAGAGACCCAGTTCCCTCAGTCTCGCCTCATACGGCATCCCCTGCAAACGGGCCACCATCCTTGTGGCCCTACGCTGCACTGACTCCAACCTGGCTATATCCTTTCTGTAATGAGGGGCCCAAAACTGAACACAATACTCTAGTTGCGGGCGCACTAGAGTCGTGACAATGCAAACCTGTGGAGCCAAGGAGATGCGGCACCAGCGGGTTGATTAGAGGATCGGAAGCAACAGTTTGGGCTCAGAGCAAAGTCACAGAGGGGCACAGTGCAGCCATCCTGCAGAAGCGAAGCAGGTTTTGGTCTGGTCAGTGCCTGGATGGGAGACCTCTACAGAACCTTGAATTCCTTAATGGAAGAAAGGGAGGACCAAAGTATCGATACAAGCTGGGGAATGTGTGGCTCAACAGAACTGAAAAAAGAAAATGTCTTGGAGTAATTGTGGACAACAGGCTAAACATGAGCCAACCATGCAGTGCAGCTGCCAAAAGGGTGAATGCTATTTTGGGATGTATTAAGAGAAGTGTTACTTCCAAATCACGAGAAGTAGTAGTTCTTCTCTACTCCTCACTAGTCAGATCTCGCCTGGAATACTGTGTCCAGTTCTGGGCATGAAGATTTAAGAAAGATGCAGGTAAATTAGGAAGGGTCTAGCGGAGGGCAACAAAAATGATCCAGGGTTTGGAAACACTGCCCTGTGAGGAGAGGCTGCGAAAACTGGGCATGTTCAGCCTTGAGAAGAGAAGACTGAGGGGGGACATGGTATCCCTCTAGAAGTCCCTCAAAGACTCTCACCAAGAGGAAGGTCAAGATCTCTTCTCGCTGATGCCAGAGTGTGGAACACGGCATCAGGGCTCTTTTGTGTACTTGTGCATGTGTGGACACACTGTCGAGGTGTGCAGCCCGGCAGGTAAACAGTCCACACATTCGAGCGCAATAAAACTCAAGTCCTTTAATGCTAATTGTCTACAAGATTTACAACTCTATAGATAAGTTCCCTAATAGCGGTCCTTGCTAGGCAGATGTTAACTCTCTAATGGCTTCTCTTCCCAAGCCCACATGGGATCACTCTCCCAAGTCACGCCTTTCCTCCCTCTTACGTAATAGATTTTGCCGCTGTTCATATCTACGTAAAATCCATCTGTTTTCGGCTTTTGAGAAATCCATGACACCTATTGTGTCTTCTGTTTCTGGCTCAGGGAGGTCAGCATCATGGGGGGAAGAGGCAGTTTGCTCTGCCTCCTTCTGAGTAGAACTTGCAGCTTCCTCTTTCTCAGGACTCTCTGTCTCTGATAAAGGTCCAGGCATTTGCTCAGCGTGCTGGGGGTCAGAGGAAGACGCAGCAGCTGGCTCAGCTGTCCCTGCGCTGGGTCGTGGGGTTGACTCTTGGGCACTGAGTGTCAAGTGCAAGTCCTCTGCATGAGTCACTGCTTCTGTCGGGGTTTCTTGCATGACACACACAAAGCTTGGCACAGCAGGGACCCCCCCATGTCCCACCACCCCACCCCATCCCCCTGTCCATCCCCAACAGTCCCAGGAGCTCGCATTTGTGTTTGCTTGCACAACACTGGCCCAACACTGCCTGTCGTCATTGGCTTATTTAGCCTGGAGCGCTACAACATTTCTCCTTTTGAAAGGCACGGGACATTCTACCCTCTCCAAACTCTTCCCTCGACCCTCTTAGCTACCAAATTAGACTTGTAGTGTATTACTTTCTAGTCATTCTTGATTGTGTTACTTTCATTTTTGATTCTCATTTTATTTTGCTCATGCAAAAGTCCTTCACAATTTTGTTCTGTATTATGATTCATCCCCCCTTCTCCTTCCAGATGCCTCCATTACTCAGTGCCAAAATCAGAACATCACAGCTCTGGTTTCACCAGGCGCAGCTATAAATCCTTCGGTCTGCTGATTGTTTTTGCATTTTGGCTGACCAGTCCCTGGAGGAGCTAGGAATAATCAAAGGGGAGCCGGGGGGGGGATGTGGGTGGGGAATATAACTACCCTTGAAACCCAAACATTTCACTTGTAATATCAGCCTTCCATGCTAGACAAGCTGTTCCCTCTTTTGCGCAAGAGAGGAAAGGAGTTCTGATGGAAAGGCGTGCATTGCGCCACCCAGCCTTGTGCTGGAAGTCACCAAGGCAGTGAGAAAAGCCCGTAACACTCTGCTTCCAATATAGATTCCCAAACCGCAGCTTGGAAATCGTGCAAGTGACTGTGGGTTTTTACTTCTTGTACATCTATGTATTTCAGTACAGAGGACCTGAACTGGGCTGATTTTTAGAGAATATCTCCATGGTCCTGCATGAGGTTGGGCTTCCATTGGTTCAGATCTGAAATAAGGACCAATCCATCCTTTGTGCTTCTCTAAGTAAATGAGAACATGCCTTCTTAAATGGTGATAGGTAAATGCAGGAAAGGTAAATGAAATGGCCTGTTTTAGAAACATGTGCTATTGGTCAAGTGAGTTCGCCAGGGAACCTAGAATCATTTTAGCATATTCCCAGTTTTGTCTTCATAGAATGTGGAAAGAATCGCAGCATCTGACAAGCTTTTTGAGATAGGCTTCATTTTCGTTGCAATAGTGCCAATTATAAATGCCCCTCTGGAATCTCCCATAGGCTTGCCCTTTCCCTGGCAGAGCTGTGTCTCCTCATGGCCACTGTTGGCCCTGAATTTTGGATTTGGATATAGCTTCCAAATAGCCTGAAGTGCCTGATCCTGCCTAATCTTGGAAACTAAGCAGGATCGGGTCTGGCTAAAATCTGGATGGGAGACTTAAACGTGTGAACCACCCAGTTCTCTGGGTATAGAAATGTAGTAGTAGGAGGGATGATGATGATGAAGATGATGATGGTGGTGGTGATGTTCTGTTCCATGGAAGGTATGTCATTGTGGAATGTGAAGACCAAGACACTCAGCAGAGAGACCCCAGGACACACGAAATGTATCTGAATGTCATGCGAAGGTTTAGTCAAGCTCTGCTAAAGGTAGGAGTGCGGCAAATGCAGTAGCAGCTGGTTAAATTCCGGGCATAGAGCTCCTCGCTCCTTTGGGAAAGGCCGGGGTGCGTGCATGTAAAACTGCGGAGCATGTTCCCTGAGAATCACATTTCCAGTTCCGCCACAGCCCATTCTGACATGAGCAGTGAACACGGTTGCTTTGGCAAGCTTCCAGGTGGACGTGGCTGATGGGATGGGTTCCACCCTCTGCTGTCTCTCTTGAGGATGTAGCTGCGTTGGGGTCCCCAGATGTGTTAGGTCGGTGGGCTCGTTTGGAATTGCGAGACTGTGTCATGCAGTTTTGAAAGTCTGTTCTCAGAAAATGGCGGATGTGAGAGCTCCTTGCATGTTTGTAAAAAGGCTACCATAAGCTGCTGTGAGAGACAGAGATCCAGTTATTCTGCTGTGTTCGGTCCAAAGTCCTTTGGGTTCTTCCAGCCTCACGTACAGGATACTTAAATCAGAATATATGGGGAACTGAGGGATCGGTCCTAGTAATTCATACTTGGCTTTGGCCAGTGAAGAAAGCAGCAGCTTAGCCCAAACTCGTTTCAAATGCAGCTTATTCCCTTCAACTGGAAGTGTTCTATTTGCTTGTTTTGTTTTTATTTTATTTATTTTTCGATTTATATCCTGCCTTTTTCCGACAAAGGACTCAAGGCAGCTTACATCATTCTCCTCCTCCATCTTATCCCCACAACAACAACCCTGTGAGGTAGGCTGGGCTGAGAGTCTGTGACTGGCCCAAAGTCACCCAGTTGGCTCCATGGCTGAGCGGGGACCCAAACCCAGATTGTCTGAGTCCCAGTCCCAGGCTCTTAACCACTGCACCACACTGGCTCTCCTGTTGTTCCTATCTTAATGTCATTAGTGAAAAATGTCTGTACTACCCTTTGGAATGCCATGGGAAGTTTGCAAGAGCAAGCAGTTTTCAGTTTTGCATGGCTCAGTCTCCAAAATTCTGTACTTGTGGGTAGAAATCTTTAAAGTTTGTATAATAGAATTTTTAATTCTCTATATTTTTGCTGGTGGGTTTTTTTTTTGAGGGGGTGCATTTTTTAGTCTGTCCCTCAGAGAACGGATGCATCTCTTACAACCTCAATGAATGAGAATCTTCAAGAGACCCTCTTTCTGAAACCGAAAGCATTCATGCATCCTAGCAAGGAGTAAAGAATTGACTCCCCCTGCTTTTCAAGTCAAGATTCCTGTGCTGCTGAATAATGCAGCACATTTTATTTATTTATAGCTTTTATATACCATTCTTTAGCATAAGCTCTCACCAAAGGGGGGCAACATGCAGAATTGAGGGAGGCACACAACTCTGAGGGTTCCGTTCTTGGGTTTTTCTCCTCGCAGTAATGGCGGGTGTTCTGTATGCCTGCAATTCTGGGGAGAAGAAACGCATCAGTCACAGCTTTGGGTTTTTCTTCTTCCCCTCTCTCCAATATTAATTGGTTTGTGTCATGCAAGTGTTTTCCTCTAGAGTGATTGCTGTTGGCACAGTAGTAAAAAAGCTAAAAGGTCAGATAACCAGCCAGCTGCTACATGCAGCTTTGATTGCATTTTATAGAGTGGTGGGTGCGGGGAGAGAAACATGCTGTTTGAGGGAAGGCCTGTGTCTTTTACCCACGCGTCTTGAGCAACGTAACTCCAAGAAACCTACTTGAGGCAAAATAATTACAGCGAGAAGAAGTAATTCGGCTTTTCCTTCTCATTCATCCAGGGAGATAAGTCTGTCCGGGTCATGCGGTCCTTGCTGGCTGCACAGCAGACGTTTGTAGATCGCCTCGTCCATCTCATGAAGGCGGTGCAGCGCGAAAGTGGGAATCGAAAGAAAAAAGTACGTGGTGGAACGCAGCGTAGGTCCTTCCCCACCTTTTGTGGTTGGTGGCTTCTGAATGCAAGCATGCGTTGCTGTTTTGCTGAGGGGAACACCTTCTGGGGTTTGGAATGGAGAGGCTTGGAAGATCATCTGTTCAGACCTTTTTCTGGATGCATGGAGGAGGGGGATGGATAACGGCGAAGACACCACCCACAATTCTGATGTATCTCCTGACAATGCCCGAAGTGACTGTGCCATTGCCATCTTCACAAAGCAACTTTAGTGCATCGGGATTTGAGAAATGTGTCCCAGTGCCAGTTAGGGGTGAGGCAGTCAGGGCGAGTGGCTTAGAATCATAGAACCATAGAACAGTAGAGTTGGAAGGGGCCATGAAGGCCATCTAGTCCAACCCCCTGCTGGTGCAGGACATCACGTTACACCATCCCACTCAGATGGTGCCCAGTTTCCTTCTGAATGTCTCCAGTGTGGGGGAGCCCACCAACTCTCCAGGCACCTGGTACCACTGTCGTTTTGCTTTTCCTGATGTCCAGCCTGAATCTGGGTTGTTGCAACTGGAACGGATTAGTCCGTGTCCCACAGTCTGGCATCATGAAGAATAGATCTTGAGTTCCATCCCATGAATGTAGCAAGAAGAAGCCTCGGCATGCTGGATTCAGCTTCCAGGTGGCATTCAGCAGGGGGTTCTGGTTCGGAAGAAAGCCCCACTGCATTTCCGGGGGCTGCTTTCAGCCAAGGGTGCCTGCAGCCTTAATGCAGAAGACCTTCTCTGTATGGCACGCACCTGTCTAGATCCATCCCCTGTGCTCCCCTTGAAGGGTTGACCTGTGTCTGGTCATTAAGTTGGCTAGCAGAGGAACTGATTGTGGGGAGGGAGGCAGGGGGAAGATTCCTCTCCCCTGGCATTCCTTCTGACGTTAACACACGCATGCACACACCCCTGCCGTGTTTCTCTTGCACTTCTATTTCAGCCAGCCAGACATGCGATTATTCACTTATTTGTTTTTCGATTTATATCCTGCCTTTTCCTCAAAGGGCTCAAGGCAGCTTACATCATTCTCCTCCTCCATCTTATCCCCACAACAACAACCCTGTGAGGTAGGCTGGGCTGAGAGTCTGTGACTGGCCCAGAGTCACCCAGTTGGCTCCATGGCTGAGCGGGGACTCGAACCCAGATCCTCTGAGTCCCAGTCCCGCGCTCTTCACCACTGCACCACACTGGCTATGATTAAACAAACATAACTGCACAGTTTGACCCTGGCAGTGGCACCTCGTGGGAGTTCAATGTGCATGTGTTTGATGTAAAGCAAAGGTGTTAAACTGTAACTCCATGGGCCAGATGTGGCCTGCGGGGCTTCTGCAGAGGGCCTTACCTCTTTTTCCCATCCCTCCGTTGTTTGGTGCTCTTCCAGCTTCTGTTTGGTGCTTTTCCAGCTTCTGTGCTCCCCCAGCCACATCTGGGGAAGGATAAGTCATTAAGCACAAGAACTTTAAGCTAAAATATTTGGGGGGCGGGTTGGATGGGGGGGTGGTTTTGGTGTTTTTGATGCATAACGTGGCCCTGTCTCCTGGGTGCTACATGCCTTTGTCCAGCACTGGACTGTAGCCCCCAGGAGATTCTCTGAAATTGAACACGGCCTTCGGTTTGAAAAATATCCCACCAACTACATTTTGTGCCCAGTACTGGATCTGTGACTTTTCTGTCCAGCCGTATTTATTTATTTATAAAATGTGTATGCCATCCAATTATTAACGTCTCTGGATGGCTTACAGCATAAATAAATTGACGACCCACTCTGGCTGCAAATAAAATACGGTAATAAAATTCAATATTAAAACTTGTTAAAATATTGATTAAATAAAAATGTCTTAACCTGGTGCCGAAAAACATATAATGACGGCGCCAGGCGGACCTCTCTGGGGAGCGTATTCCATTGACGGGGCGCCACTGCAGAGAAGGCCCTCCTCCGGGTATTTTGTCTCCTAATATCTTTCACAGAGGGTTCCCGGAGGAGGACTTCTGCTGCTGATCTCAGGGGGCGGGAGGGCAAATAGGAAAGAAGGCATTCCTTTAGGCATCCTGGTCCCAAGCCATTTAGGGCTTTATAGGTAATAACCAGCCCCTTGAATTGAGCCCGGACTTCGATGGGAAGCCAATGGAGCTGATAGAGGACTGAGGTTATATGAGAATAATGCCCAGTCCCCAACAGCATCCTGGCAGCTCTGTTTTGCACCATGTGAAGTATCCGGACTGTCTTCAGGGGCAGCCCCACGTAGAGCGCGTTACAGAAATCCAACCGGGAAGTAACCTATGTGTGTGTTACTGTTGCTAGGCAATCGTCCTCCAGGCAGGGACGCAGCTGATGGATTAGCCGAAGCTGAAGGAAATCGCTCCTCGCCACTGCTGTCACCTGAGCTTCCAAGGACAGCTCTGGGTCGAGGAGCATTCCCAGTCTGCAGACCCGTCCTTTAGAGGGAGTGCAACCCCGTCCAGGGCAAGGCCCAAGTCACCTACCCAGGCGCTCGAATCACCCACCAACAGAACCTCCGTCTTACCAGGATCGAGCTTCAGTATACTTTCAATTCCCCCAGTCCTGCCTGTTTCGGACTGGGAGGTGCAATGCAGAGAGCGGCAAAGAAGCACCATGGGGTGGAGGAAGCATCAGGAGATGAATCGGCCCATGTGAATTGGCTTTCATTGGCTGGGGGGCGGTGGGGGAGGGCTTTCCTCGGACAGGCAACTAGATATCCTTTTCTCTGTAGGAAATAAGCTAGAAGATGCATCTTGCAAGTAATCTGCACTTGAGCAAGGGCTTGACTTCTAATTATTTAACTGTGCTAGCAATAAAACAATTCCCTGCACCACCTTAATCTATTACTGGGGGAAAAATGGAGAAAGCAGGAGTGGAGTTTTATTTAGCGCTCTTACTAAGCTAATTTGAGCAAATTCCTGGGCTTGGAATTCTTTAATTCTGAAATCTGTGGCTTCTGCACCAGGTAAGTGATTCCTGAGGCTTAGGAAAAACGAAAGAAAGCTAGAGCTTTGTACTTATGGTCTCCCAAAAGTCACCATCCTGTTGTTGGGCAGAGAGATGGAAAGGGGGCAAGAGATGATTTTGCCAGACTTCTCCAGGGAAAGCAGGTATGCTCAACAGTTCCTCCTGGGCAGGCCTCACCATGGGGAAGAGGGGCACAGCTTCCCATTTTTCATAAGGGTTTTTGTTCTTCTTTTGTGCTGCCATTGTGGGCATCTGCTAAGCGGGCAGCTTGGCCTCATTTGGCATCCACCCCAGTGGTGTAAGGGGGCACCGCCGTGTCTCCTTGTCCACGTGCTTTGTCGTTCCATTACTTGGAAGTATTCTTCCAGCCTGCAAGAGCGCTCCACGGTTCTGCCTCATTCTCGGGGTGCTTTGTAATTGATTTTGGTGGGGTTTTTTGAGCTTGTTCCATCACCATGTCGTGGCAAAGGATTCTGTGCCAGTGCTTTTCTCTGTGATGCGTTCCAGGCTGTCTGCAGTTTGCCATTTTTTCCCCATTAAACCTTCACCTGGGCTTGAAATGAAGTGTGGGAAGCTGAGGCGGCAACGGGCTCCTAGGAGGATGATAGCACATAGAAAAACCAAATGCATGTATGTATCTCTCAGCCTCCAAAGGCAGGTATAGGCAAGGACCCCCTTCAAACCCATGAGAATTTCTCTGCAATTTTGCTCACCCCCGAGTTTCTTTTGAAAACAATGTATTTTCTACCAATGCATAAAAATGCTGAAAAAATAATCATGCGAAGAGACTTTGGGCACAGCTTCTTTGAAGATCCCAGAAGCCTTGAGCCTGCCTCCATCTGCCCCAGAGCAAATTATTGAATGGATGAGAGTCTCAGGGGTTTACAGTGTCTTGCGGTTCTTACTTGCATGTGACGGGTTCTTCTTTCCTACACCCCTGCTCCGTTTCTAGAATGAGAGGCTGCAGGCACTTCTTGCAGAGAACGAAAAGATGAACTTGTCGGATTTTGAGCCCATTCCGCTGCCTTTGGAGCCTCAGGTGAAAATTCGAGGAATAATCCCAGAGAAAGCAACACTGTTCAAGGTAATGGCACCGATCTTGTCCGCTAACCGGTGTGATTGTGTCCCCCAGCCTGTGGGGTTTGGGGCACCCTTGTGTAGGTATTTGCTGGCAGACTGCCATGCTACTCTTCTTTCTTCGCAAGCTGGAGTCCCAACCTGCTTCAGGATAATTAAACAACCACACAAAGAAGACCCAAAAAGAAAGGGGAGTGATTCTTGCAATATACCCGTATTAAAAAGGCTCCAAACACTTCAAAAAAATCTAAAAAGGTCCAAACATTTAGAAGGTCCAAACCAATCTGACCTGGGGCCAAACTCCATGGTATGCTGCATATACTTCAGTTTATAGAATCAGAGAATAGGAGAGCTGGAAAGGGTCCAGAAGGTCATCTAGACCAACCCCCTGCTCAGTGCAGGACTCCAAGTTGGCTGCCCATCCTGAATGCCTTCAGTCTGGGAACATGGGTGCTTAACCCTTTCTCTCCCATGCATTGTCTCATTATCCACCCTAATGGGACTGGTTCGTGGTTAATGTGTGGGCCCTGCCCACATGCTCTTGCGGTTCTGTTTTCCTTGAGATGCAGAGACAGGAAGAGGACTGGATAATGGAAAATAGATAAATATATTTATTTGCTGAGAGAAATTGATTTTTGCCCTTTCTTTTTTATGAGGGACAAATTGCCAACCAAGCCTGAGCAAATCAGGTCTTTTTGAAAAAGGGCATTCTGAATAGAACTGCCATCTTCGCTAAGTTAATTAGGAAGGAGAGCTAATTGCTTTAAAGTTCCCCTTCCCTTAGCATTTCTTAAGTTTAGAAGATGACTAAGGCAGTTTTCCTCTTCCTGCTCAACTCCAATTATTTCGTTGCGCCCTTTTAAGTAGTGCTGAGATGTTTGGAGGCAGATATGGAAGCTAATGACTTTGGAGTACTTCAATAAACGAACAAGCAGTAATCTTCTTAATCAGAAGTGGCCCTTTGGGTGCTGTTTCTTTATGGCACAGTTGTCAAACCTCTCTCAGCCGGAGGGCTGAAATCAATTTCAGGAAAGCTCTCAGGGGCCCCATGGGGTGGTGAGTGGATCCAAGGCAAACGGGGTGGGCCAAAACACCCCAAACCCCAGCACGTATTAGGTGAATGCCCCTATTGCCAGCAACTGAGCTATAGGAGAGCTTACGTTCAGCAGTACAGAAGGGGAAGCATTGCAGAAATGACCAGCGGATGATCAGGAATAGGAACGAGTGAAGAGTGTGTGTTCTTCTGCAGGCACGGCCTTCAAGGACCCCCATGGGGCTTGGCCCATGAGTCTAAGCCTCGCTACTCCTGCATTATGGCTTAGCTTTCTAACTGCAGGGCTTTGTTCTGCACGTTGCATCTGTACTTCTAATAACAGAAGCTAGAACACACGCTTCTACATTCTCTCTACTTAGGACGGTTTTCCTTTGTTTGTTTCTTTATTGATTGATTTATTATATTTTTGTCCCACCTTTTATTTTTCTTTCCAAGGAAGTCCAGTTAGCTTGCATAAGTCTCCTCCTCCTCCTCTCAATCCTATGCTCACAACAACAACAACCCTGTGAGGGAGGTTGGGCTGAAAGTGAGTGGCCCAAAGTCACCCAGTGAGTTCCATGGCTGAGCAGGGACTCGAACCCGGATCGCCTGACTCCCAGTCCACTCTGTTAACCACTACACCACTCTAGTTCTCCAGTGTTTCTTGTCTTTTCACTTGTTTTCTTCCTTCAAGGGATGGAGCTGTGCCCTCTGTTGAAATGTCTGAGGATCTCTCCAAAGCTTGAAAATTTCATATGGTCATCTAACCACATGCTTGAATTTCTGCACCAGCAGCTAAACCCTCACCCATCTTCCTTTTCTGAATCAAACATGAATTTAGAAGGGTTTGGGAGGTTCCTCTAAATACTTGGCAGGCCGCGAAGCAGTGATTAGCGGCATGGAAAAATGCTTACACACATGAGCCAAGTTCCTGTCTCTCCATAGCTCATCTGGTTTTGCAAGCATTGGGTTGTGCCTGAGGCCACATTTTAAAAGCAGCCTTTCCCAACTGTGAGTTCCCAGAGACTGGATCACATCTCCCACGCTCCTCTGCTGTTGGCTAGGTTGGCCTCAGATGATGAAAGTTGTAGTCCAGCATTATCTGAGAACCGAGATTAGGAAAGTCCACCGAGGTTTTCTGATCATTCACTCAGGCAAAAAGACAGAGAATGTAATGCTGAGACGTTGACTGGTAGGTAGGAAGGTAGGGCTCTGAAGAAACGCTAGCTCCATGTGGCTGTTGGTTTTTTCCCAAGCAGCAGCCATTCCAAATCCTTTTCATTCAGTGTAATCTTCATTGTTTTCTTTCTGTGTTTTGTTCTCTTTTTTTTGGCTCAGAGTGCCCTAATGCCAGCCCAGTTATTCTTCAAGACCGAAGATGGAGACAAGTACCCGGTAATATTTAAACATGGGGATGATTTGCGACAAGATCAACTAATTCTGCAGATAATTTCACTCATGGACAAGGTGATTTGCTAAGCAAAACTTTGTGCGCAGGACTGTTTCTATCTACCTGTCCGTTTCTGCTCTTGGAAGCAACCCAAGCTAGCATGCACAGCTCTTTCCCCTGCCATTTTATCTGCACTGCAACAACCCTATGAGGTAGGTTAGGCTGAGAGTCAGTGACTGGCCCAAAGGTGCCCAGTGAGAGTCGCGGCTGAGGACTAGAACCCATGTCTGCTAAGGAGCTAGCTCCTGATCCGGGGCAGGTTTAGACTGAAAAAAGCCCCAGGGCGGCATTTCCAGCTCTGCTGTTGTGCATGTGCCTTGTTCTTGTAAGCTTTTGGAGCACATGAACGTGTGTCTCCCCAGACAGACTTTAAATGGGGCTTTTCCCTAAAGTCGGTGTGAGAAAGGCCACTGTCCTCTGCATACACACCAAGATACAAGCCCCATTTTAACCCGTGGGGTACATTTTACCTGCTGCGGTTGTCCGTCATGGAAACACCTGTTAACTGAGTCTCCTTGGGTTCTGGTGTGCCGCGGCACCAGTGTGAGACAAGGTCCCGCCAGGGCAGGAGCCGCAAATCCTTCATTTGGAGCCCTTACTCTCTGGAAGGCCATCTGCCCCACCATCCTGCTTCCGTGGATATTTAATAAAATAAACGCTCAGGCGCTACAGAGCCCCTTGGATGAGGTTGCCTTTCGCTCACCTGTTCTTCACCTCCCACTGTCTCCTCCCATCTTTTCTACCTGAGTTGAGTTAAAATCAAATGCCCTCTTCTTTTGCCTGTCTGTACGCCCTCTTTTACAAAAAAGGGTGACCTTAGGGATTTATGTCCTTTAAGAGATGTACAGAGACCTGTTCTCCCTTGCAGAGGAGGGTAGGATGCGCTCAACGGAACAAGGCTCAGGGAACCCAGGTCCGGTTTAGATGCCAGGAAGCACTTCCTGACAGTCAGGACCCCGAGGGTATGAATGGGCTTCCCCGGGAGGTGGTTGAGGCCCCATCGGTGCAGGTGTTCAAAGATACGCTGGACATGCACATGGTGGGCATGTTGTGAGTGGAGCCAGCTGGAGACAGGGGTCAGACTAGATGGCCCGGGAGGCCCCTTCTGACTCTCTTTGTTTCTATGTTATAGTATATGTAAAGTGGCTGATAGAAATGTGTACATTTTTCCCTCTGTGGGCCTGAGCGCCAGATCTTTTTGTACCTGGCACCACCCTGCTAGCTGAAATAAGAAGTAGAAATTAGACCTAATGAGGGAAGGCCAGCTCTTGGGCATGTTCGCTCAGAAAAAAATCCTGGCAACTTTCCCTCACTCACGTCTCTGCTTTGGTTTTTGCAGAGTTCTGGGGCACGTGTATGCAGGTCCAGCTGGGCGTTAAATGAAGCCCATTGAGTTCAATGGGGGCAATGCAGCACCTTCAGGGTGCAAATGAGAGCGATGCGGACGCTGTGTATGCATCGGCATGCCCGGTCTGTTGATCAGGATGGCTTTTGTCTTCCCCAAGATGGATGTTGAGACAGGGAGTGGGAAGGCGACAAGAACAATTCAGATGACAAGGCTGGTAAAATTACCCAGTGTCTCGTGAACTCTTGTTGAAAGAAGAGCAATGCAGAGGGGTTGGAGCCGTATCGACACAAACAGCTCCCTTACCGTCCTCCTTCCTTTCCTCTCCTTTGGATTCTCTTTGATTCTTGTGGTTACTGTTCACCTTGCCGCATTCTGCACTTCTGCCAGTTCGCATGTGTCTCCCGACCCAACCCTGAGATCATGCTATTTTGTCCATCGTCACGTTCGAGGAGCTCTTACAGGTGTAACTGTGTTTTGGCCTTCCCATATGGATTCATCCTTCCATCCCATATAAGTCCACGGCTTTTCCCGGTGCCTTAATGTCTCTCCATCTGACTGTAGGCGCTGGGCCTTTCTCACTTCCACTAAAGGTGTGATCCTGTTGGCATTTAGCCTGAAAAAGACCTTTGGCACCCAGCATTCCCAAGACTGCAAACAGCTGGAATACCTGGCAAAGTGGTTTGGTGGAGAGCTGGCCAGTAAGCTGTCCGGGTGGCCAGAGATTGGACCCTCCTGCTAGGAATCCTTTTCGGAGACTGCTGGCAGCTTAGACTTGGTGTCAGAGCATTAATAACCAGACCCCTCCCCCGCCCTCCATCAGCCTCTCGCCTGCCCATTAATGTTGTCGCCATTGCCTTGTGCATTGGCAAAGCCAGACAATTTCTTACACTCTGTTCATGCTCGCCTTAAACTCAGCATTCTGGTTTCCCCACAGCTCTTACGAAAGGAGAACCTGGATTTGAAACTGACTCCTTATAAGGTCTTGGCTACTAGTACAAAACATGGTAAGGATCCCTTTTCCCTTGGGGCAGAACTAAAGTAGGTCCTTTGACAATGCAGAGTCTTATGGTGGTTTTGCTCTTTGTTTGATCTGTCGGTGCAGTTTGGTTTGGCGTTTTACTTCCTTGGCCAAGCTCTTAGGGTAGCTCCTGTCTCCAACCTGCACAGGGGCAGGTGTGAGAGAGATGCTGCCTTCTGGTGCTGATGCTAAAAAGACATCCCGTTTTCCCATGCACAGAGAGGCACAGAACAGTGTCCTCCAAGGCCAGAGCAGTCCCCTTCTCCTGATTTACACATCAAATGTGTGGCACGTTATGCCACCGAAATGGCCGCAGATCCTTGAGTGAGTTAACCTGGGAAATGGCATGTAAGGCTCCCCTCCTTCCCCCCAGCCTTGAAGAGGCCTACAGATTCCTTAAACTCAACAGACAGAGGTTGCTGGAGCCCAGGACTCTGACCTTGAGAGATGTTCTCCAAATAGTCGGTCCCCATCACCCCACTGCTTTTGGAAATAAAGAGGGAACTGGAAGAGCAAGGGGGTGGTCCCCCCATCCTTCAAGGTTGTTTTTTGAGTCTTCGGTATTTTTATGTATGCTTAGTTGCAAAGTCTTGCCCAATTCCTCGTGGCCTCCAGGCTCTCCTGTCCTCCACCATCCCCAAGGTCCATACCCACTGCCCCAGTGACCCCATCCAGCCACCTCAACCTCTGCCGTTGCCTTCTCCTCTTGAAGTCAGTTGTTCCCAGCATCAGGGTCTTCTCCAGCGAGTCCCTCCTTCTCATTAGGTGGCCAAAGAAGTTGAGCTTCATCTTCAGTATCTGACCCACTGAAGATCAGGGTTGATTTCCTTTAAGATTGACTGATCTGATGTCTCTGCAGTCCAAGGGACTCTCAGGAGTCTTCTCCAGCACCACACCGAAGGAGTCTTCGGTGGGAACACCTACGAGCCCAGCTTCAGAGTTGCTTCCTGCTGCTCCCGCATCCTTGAGAAATGGTGGAGCCTTGCAGAAAGTGAATCCCTGTGGGACGGGCCAGGCAGACTGACCTTTGAATGGGGGCTGCATTCAGGTGGACCCAGTCTAAAAGCTTCTGACAAGCGGGGGTGCCTGTTCTGGACTGCTGCTTGCTTGGTGTGCCCCCTCACCTAGAGGGAGCACATGCATCTCTTTCACCTGCCGGATTCAGGCATGATGCCCGCATTTCCAGAATGCCTGTTGGCACCGCTTCCTATCCTCAAGGGCACACAGAAACATGCTGAGTTTGGAATCTGAGATGCTTCTTAGCATCTCTGCATCCACTTCTCTGATCCCCTTGCTGTAACGTCCTCTCTTTTCCCAGGCTTCATGCAGTTCATTCAGTCAGTGCCAGTGGCAGAAGTTCTTGCTACGGAAGAAAGCATTCAGGTGTGTGGGTCGCCCTGGCGCGGGTGCCTGTGCGAGGGGGAACCGAGGCAGAGCCCAGCGTCAGCGTCCCCTGGCCCTCAGTCCTGCGGAAGAGGCACACTGCCCCCTTTGTGGTCTTGCGGTAGCATCGCTCTGCACAGAGGCTGAAAGACGAAGCAGCAGGAGAGCGTCTTGCGTGGCGTGTGGCGTGCGCAAGCCCAAGCGCCACAGAAGTGGGAAGTAGAATGGAGAGTCCCTTGCCAAACACGCTTATGGGGTCTTATTTTTCTGTGGGGAGGGGCTCAGTGGATTTCTGCAGCTCACTTCTCTAAATTGACCGGAGAAGGATGCAACCAAAGAAGAAGACTCCCTTGGTTTTCGTACTTATCCGTGTGTTGTTTTCAGGAGGATTTTGGGAACATCTTTTTCTGCTCCCGCTTTAATGCTAGTGTGGTATCCCCAGGAAGGGTGGACCTTTCTCTTCCTTCGAGCTGGTCTTGCTAGCAAAATCCAACAGTCCCAAACCATTTGCTCCCCCTTTTCCTGGGAATTCTCCCTTCCCCTCCCAGTTGGCAGGGGCATTTTACACAATTTCAGTCCTTTTGGCCGGGGTGCAGACCTTGTTCCATCCCAAGGGCTGCATTTAATTTCTGAGAAATTCTTCAGCATTCTGGTCCTAGGCAGGACCAAAGGAAAATGGTGCCAATTATTCCCACTTTCCAGTGCCCCCGTATGCGTATAAACAAGACGGAGAACATGGCATAACTAACTGATTAGCACGTCCTGTGCTCTCATTCTTATTGCTCTTAGGAAGAAATTCATAGAGGCCAAACCTGTCAACAGATATTAGTCATGTTTACTAAATGGAACCTCCAAGTTCAAAGGCAAAATATCTCTGAGGACCAGATGCTTCTCAAGTTCCCAGTAATATTTCTAGGCCAATTCGCTGCTGGAATTCTAGCTGTAACCCTGCAGGCCTTTTCCCCTCCCCTAAATAAAACATGTTAGTGCACATTTTGCAATTCATTTCCTGTATCTCAATTCACGATTGCTTTGAATTGCTAATGCTATTTAAATTCTGCAACCCAGGCACAAAAGAAATATATCTACTTTTGAAGCATTTAACGCTCTCTCTGTAATTATGCAATAACTCTGCATTTGAAATTCAGTGGGATGGGATTATTTTGAAGAAAGAGAGGCCCTTGAGTGTGTACTGCAAAGTGATTTTAAATCTTTCTGCTGGAGAGGTTAAGGAAATTCTATCAGATACAAACTAAGCATTGCAATGTAACACTAAGGGGGGATGTAATTTGCTTGATTGTTCTTTGCTTAATGTTATTTTATAAATATAGTGCCAATTCCGTACTGGGCCTGGACTGCCTTTTAACGATCAAGATTGGTATTTGGGTTCAGGGTGAAGGGGGAAAGGGGAAAAAATTGAAGCTTGTCACCAGTAGGAGAGAGTAATATTTTCTTCAAGGTTGCAACCAGCATTTTTCTGCGTCTGCCCTGGGAGATTCGTAGAGTCATTACACTGGGAGAAGAAATAAACTTTCTGTTGATGCTTTTCAGAACTTCTTCCGAAAACACGCAGCGAGCGAAACGGGACCCCATGGAATTAGCGCGGAAGTGATGGACACCTACGTCAAGAGCTGCGGTAAGCGGTGGCGGGCAGTGGCGGCTGAGCTGATGTGAGCCTCTTAAGGGACTCGTGGGGTTCATGATGGAGACGAGGGGAGACGGGAGTCTTTCCTCCCCCTGCCCTCATGTCCAGTGCATATGGGAGTGGGAACAAAGTCACTTTCTGGTGCTGCCACATTCGCTGTTATTGTGAAAGGGCCCTTGTGAATATAGTTGTGTGGGCAAAGGAAGTCACCTCTGTGCGTACGGTGCCCGTCCCTGTTCCGGATGCATCCCTGAGCTCTTCCCATCTGGGGCAGCTTAGAAGGTTGAACTCCATAATGCAAGATGGAGAGCCGCTGTGGTGTGGAGGTTAAGAGCACGGGACTGGGACTTGGACGATCTGGGTTCTAGTCCCCACTCGGCCATGGAGCCCACTGGGTGACTTTGGGCCAGTCACAGACTCTCAGCCCAACCTACCTCACAGGGTTGTTGTTGTGAGGATAAGATGGAAGAGGAGAATGATGTGAGCTGCCTTGAGCCCTTTGTAGGAAACAGGCAGGATATAAATCCAAAAAAATAAATGAATAAAATGGTTGGTTGGGGGAAGGGGCAGAGTCCCTGACCTCTGCACAGGGCCCTCCGCAGGCGATTGGGGTCCTCACCCTTTGCGATTGGGATCCTCACCCTTTGCATTATGTTCACATGACCCCAGTCCTCCGTCAGCTTCACTGGCTCCCCATTGAAGTCCGGGCCCAATTCAGGGTGCTGGTTATCACCTACAAAGCCCTGTATGGCTTGGGTCCTGATTATCTAAAGAGCGCTTGCGTCCATATATGCCCTCCCGCCCCTTGAGATCAGCAACAGAGGCCCTCCCCCGGGAGCCCTCCGTGAAAGATATTAGGAGGGTAGGTACTTGGAGGAGGGATGTGCTCCCCAGAGAGGAATGCGCTCCCCAGAGAGGTCCGTCTGGCACTGTCGTTATTTGTTTTTTGGCACCAGGCCAAGACCTTTTTATTTAAACGTTATTTTAATTGTTAAGGTTATTTATTGATTTTAAACTCTCCAGGCTGTTTCCACTATTTTATGTATTTTTTGTATTTATATGCTGTTTTTATTTATGATTGTAAGCCGCCCCGAGGCTTATGCATATAAGGTGTTTGTATAAATAAATAAATAGGATAGAAAATATTGACTTTAAAAAAAATAGCAGTGTAATGCAGAATTCAGGCAGAGCAAATGACAGCCTGAGTGAAATCAAGTAGACACATGCATTTGTCCTGAACAGAACAAGGATTCTTTCTGGCACTAGAATAGAATCAGCATAATGATCTCCTACACAGGGAAAGTACGCAAGTTGACAATGTTTTTCATTTCCAGCTGGATATTGTGTGATAACATATATCCTTGGAGTTGGAGACCGGCATCTGGATAACCTTTTGCTAACCAAAACAGGTAATAGTTAACTTTTTTTTTTCTGGTACTTGCCTCTTGGAATTCAGTCCTTTTCCCCTTCTGTTCTGGAGTAAAGAGACAATGACTGCAGGATTCAGTAGAATTATTTACCAAAATCACTGCACAGTGTTTGAGGTCCTGTGCAGTATGAAGACTAGGTAAGGATTGTTCCTGGATAAAATTAACCCGACAATTTTCAGCAGATAGAGCATGCCTGTGGAGTTGTCATCGATCGATTGATCGATCGAGCGACCAATCTGATTATGGTCTTAGACCAGCATATGAGGTAGTAGGTTTTTTCCCTGTCCAAACATACATACGATCAAGACTTCAACCATCCACTCTTCTCTAAAACAGAGTACAACGATAATTAGAATCTAATCTTTTAAAAAATCCCTTTTGTACTCTGGTTTCACTAAAGGTAAACACCGAGGCCCAACGGTCATTAAGGGCCCACCTTGTGTGGAATGGCTAATGATGGGTTAACTGACCTGTACTTCGTTTGGGTGACAGTGTTAACCATGAATCTCTGGCTTGTTCTTGACTTCAAACTTTGGGCTGTTTGTCCCTCAACAGCGGGTTAACTGACCTGTCCTTCGTTTGGGTGACAGTGTTAACCATGAATCTCTGGCTTGTTCTTGACTTCAAACTTTGGGCTGTTTGTCCCTCAACAGCCCAGAATTTTGGGCTTGGTTGCTGTCAGAGTTGTGGTGGGCTGCGACATGGAGCCGGCTGGCTGGCTGGCAGTTTTCAACTTGGTCTGTCAGGTGTTGGCATAGGAGAATACCTGTTCTTATTCTTGGCCTGGTTCTCACATAATGGCAATTCGTAGCTTGTTTAACCCATGGATTGTCCTGGATTTGAACATGCAAGCAAGCGGCAGGTGCCCACCGTTTCTGCTTTGCATCTGGTTTCAGAAAACAACAAGCAAACGGGAATGTGCCGAGTGGCTAGTGGGCAGTGTGTGTGTTTTGCATGGCCTCAGAAATGGACAGACTTCACTTAAGAGCATAAGGAAAGCTCTCAAAGCTCCATCTAGTCCAGCCCTCCATTGACACAGTGGCAAACCAGCCGCCTACAGGGTCCCTCCAGCAGGATGGGTGCCAGACCTCAGCAACTGGGACATGCAGGCAGGCCTGTTTTCTGCCTCCTTTACCAGAGGGAAAACAGCCAGCAAGCCTAGTAGTCACTGACAGTCTACTCCCTCATAAATCTCTCCAATCCCCTTTTAAAGCCACCCGGATTGGCAGCCACTGCTGCTTCCTGTGGCAGCAAATTCCACAACTGAATTTGTGGAAGAAGTTTTCCTTTTATCTTCCCCAGGCCTCCCACCAATCAGCTTCATGGGATTTGAGTGTTATGGGACAGGGAGAAAAATGTCTCCCTCTCCGCTTTCTCCACACTGTGCATTATTTTAAATACCTCTCCATTGTTTCCCCTTCCTCACCGTTTTTCTAAGCCAGACAGTCCCCGTCGCACCCATTCCTCACAGGGGGGCTGCTCCAGTCCCCATTCATTTCTGCTGCCCTCCTCTGCACCTTTCCCAACTCAGTCATGTCCTTTTTCAGGTAAGGCAACCAGAAATGAACGCAATAATCCAAGTGTGGCACCAGATATTTGTATAAGGGAATTGAGATTTGGGCTGTTCTGTTTTCTATCCCTTTCCTAACGATGCCCAGTGTGGAGTTTACCGTCTTCACGGCAGCCATGCGCTCAGCACTCACCTGTCGAACCAAGCTGAAAGCAGCGAGCCACCTGGCCGGGTCTCGCAGCCTGCTAGGAGGCTTGGCTCCCTGCATGTCCCTGCCATCACAGGCAAGGAAGGACAACAGGTGCGGAGACCTCTCCTGGGTCTTTCCATAGGAGGGGTGGGTCCTGTTCAACAAGGTGGGTCAGCATAGTGCTCCATGCAGCATCCTTGCGATCCGCACGAGGCCTCTTCTCTGCAGGGAGTCCTGGCAGTGCTTTGCAGGTGTGAACTGGCCATACCTGAAAGAGCGTCTTCTACCCCATTAAAGCTTGCTGCTGGTCAGAAGGTGAGGAAAATGCACGGACTGAGCCCAGGGTTGTCCTCTCTCACCTTTAATTCTCTGCTCGGTGCTGCCAGAAGTTGCCAAAAGCAAACTCTCGAAGGAGGGTCATTTCTCCAGTAGGATGAGTTCTGGTTTTGGTTTGTTTGGCTTCAGAACCACATCTCTCTGAAGTATTTCTTGAGGGGGATGGGGAAGCGAAAAGATACCTGTTACTCGCTCTTCTTCTCCATCACCTCCTTCTCTCTCCCCCACTTCACTGCATCGCACTGCAGAGCAATAGCAGGCTGGGATTCAAGGGCTGTCAGCTTTTGAACTGACCCCTTTAGGATGGAATCCTGTGCTTGTGTATTCACAAGTTGACAACTTCCATAATGCTTCTGCATAGCCTGAAGTGCCTGATCCTGCCTCATGTTGGAAGCTAAGCAGGGTCAGGCCTGGTCAGAAGAATCTGGGAGGGAGACCCGAGTCCTGCGTTGAGCAGGGGCTTGGACCCAACGGCCTTCTGGGCCCCGTCCAAATTTATGATAGCATGAATTTGCTCCAGACTAGGAGTAAGCATAGGACCCCATCCTTAGTGTTGCAAAGTTCAGTGGGGGAATTGTTCAGGAGGGCAGGAAAAGGGGCCCCTTCTCACCCCATCACTCCATCCTCTTCAGACTCTGAGCAGCTGCAAGTCTGTTCCCTGGACTGTATTCACGTCAGAAGCCATGAATACACCGTGGCTTGGCGTGTATGGAATCAGCGTTGCTTTCTTCTGTTCGCTGGATCTCAAAATTTACTTTACAGTGTAAACACATGTACACATCAAACTGAGTAGCTGATCATAACTGGTGTCAGGAAATTCAGAAAACATTTTGCAGTGGCAATTTGATCGCTGCGGTAGAGCTTCTCAAGCCAACTTTTTCAGGCTCCAACTGCCAAGAAGATGGCAGATGAGAAAAAAGAAAATAAACCTCGTGATACGAGTGGAGGAAAGCAAGTACCATTTTCGCGACTCTTAATTTGTTCCTTATAAAATAATGTAGCTAATTGGCAGTTGGCGGGTCCTTTTATATAAACACACACACGCCTGCACACACATCACAAACGCAATTTTAAGATCGCTTAATTATATGCCTGTGCCATGTATCTTTTTAAAGGACTTTCAGCAGATTTAGTATCTATTATACACTCAACTGCATTCCAAATACAGTGCGTATTTAAAAACATTTATTAGGACTAGTTAATTAGATTGATATTGGCCATAATTGCATTTGTACCGAACAAAGAGATTCCTTCCTTTCTGCTGGATCTTTAATAATGATATTAATCAGAGCTCTAATGCAGCTGGCTTTCTGGACTGCAGCTGCAGCCCTCGCCCCAGAATCCCAATATTTTGAAGTCTAGTCCTCCAGCCTGGAGCAGGGTTGGTCAGCCAGAAGTCCAACAGGTAGACCAGCCCTCTCTTTAATCTCACACCTTGACAATGACGACAGTGGTGATTGCGTTTGTATCCCGTCTTTTGCTCTTGTGAGGAACTCAAGACAACTTCCTTAGCTCCAGTATCTCCTCACAACAACCGCCCTGTGAGGTAGGCTGAGCTGAGGTGCTGGCTGGACCAGAGTCTCCCAGGGAGCTTCATGGCTGAGTGGGGACTGGAAACCGAGTCTCCTGCATCCCAAGTCCCACATGCTAAGCACCGCATCGCATTGGTTTTCTGTTCCTCCTCCTCCTTTTTAGTGTAACCCCTGAGCATACATAGGAGTTGAGTCCTTTTAACTGGGTGGTTCAGCCCTATCTTTCCATATTGTGTGTTTTCTGGCAAGGAAATCCAGTTTTCCAGTCCTCCAGACCAGCAGTTTGATCAGATTCAACCAACTTTAACATTGGGTGCTCCCAAGTGGTTCCTGTGAAGTTGCGAATGTCGCCACTTTTGGTTTTGAAAGAACAAGGAACGCTGGTGGACACCGCAGAGACAAGGAATTGGCACTGCATTCTTATGTATATTGTAGAAATTCTGCCCAGAAGCGACGTTCAGTGCCTGAGGCCACAAGGAAGAGGAGCTTCTCGGTGGTGGCTCCAGCTGTGGAACGAGTTCCCCACTGTTGCCTGCCTGGTACCTGCTCTATATCCTGTTGACATCAGGATGGTCGAAGGAGCACATGGGAGCAGAGGGGGATTTTCGGAGGTCGAGTTGTACTAATCTCTCTTCGTTACTTAAGTTGTCTGAGCTGAGTTATAAATGTTTGCAGTGAGGATTGGTGATGTTTTTATCGCAGCTTGTATTCATGCTGCGTGCTGCAAATGGCTGTGCCGCACCCAGAAAGTTTTGGCTGTCACAAAACAAATGATCCCCCCACCCCCGCTGCGCCGTGCTCCAATTCGTTTGCCCTCTGGATTAATTAATCTGGCCGGTGATCTTATGCAGTCCAAGTCCCTGGGCCACGTGCCCCTGAAAACCCCAGTGGTGCCAACCTGGACCCCGAGGCAGGTGTCTTTTGTCCTGCTCCTGGCTTAGAACCTGAGGAATTGCATGGTCCTTCGGGATACAGAGGCCAGTATTTCCTGATCTTGTTTCTAAAGCCGCACCTGGATGGGAAGTGATGGGAGAGACCTTGTATCCGCTCAGCATTCCGTAGGATTGAGGGCCACCATGGTCAGCAGAGCCAGGATCAGGGTGGACGTGGCTGGATGTCCTCTGAGGGCCCCAAGCTCCATAGGGGTCCACTGATAAGAGCCCCCTGGAACTGTCCCTCCTCTTCCTCCTTGCTCTTTGCTGCTTCTCCTTCCCCTTACTGCAGCCCAGACGGTGGTGGTGGTGGGAAGCAGGAGCAGTCTTCTTGCTCACAGGGTGTCCACGAAGCTTGCAGTGAGGAAGAAGCTGAGGGGAAAGAGCCACTGGGGGCCATGGTAGTGAGAAGGGGGATTCCTCAAAGGGAGCTCGGCCCAGTTGCCCCCCCCCCCAACCTGAAGGCATTACTTAAGAGC